AGTTCAAATATCTATACGAGTGTTGTGCAAGACGAAGAGCATAAGAGCATATTGGCTGTAATAATGCTTTTCGTCTTATAACTTTATCAACGTTAACACAATTTGCACAGTTGAATCCGCATAAATTATATCTGATTGCTCATAATTTATGTGTATAGAGATAGCAACGATGATCGAGTGGTTAGCAGCACAGTTAGATACGATGGATGTGGTTGTGGTATCAGTGGTGATGTTAGGAACGATTTATTTCTTATTTCTGAATAAATTCAACAAAACGACATCAACAAATCGCTACTCACCTCAGTTCATTACGATTGACAATCACGCGAAAACGTCTTCAACTAATAGCTCAACGTCGAATGCAATTCGCAAAGATAGCTGTCTGGTTGATACATCATTCATTGCTCGCATGCAAACCGAGCAGAGACAGGTCAATTCTTTTGATAATTTCTTACAACGTATCAGTTTAGTAGTAGCATTGATATGGTGATAACTCCATTTCACATTAGTAGAACTAATATGAAAACAGAAATATGAAAACACTGAACACTTACCTCAACCAAGATTTGCTGATGCGATAAAAAGTACGAAATTTTTTGAGTATTTTCACAATTGGATGAACATTGGATGGCGAATTCGCAAATGTTCTGTAAATTTTAATACTGCTTAACTTCTTTGGGTTCGATCAAGTCGATGAATCGTTTTTATGATCGATGTTTTCAAATGTCTTTTCATGATTTTCTTCGGATTAACAAGCATTAATGATGCATGCATCTAATTGCCACTGAAATACCGTTATCTGTTTAGTATTCGTCCATGCCAAGTTATCTGCTGAATTCATTGTTTTTCATTTGTTGAAATATTTCAGATTGAAATATATTACAATTTACAGGTGTTAATAATGTATGGATCGCAAACGGGTACTGCTGAAGAGTTAGCTGGTCGTTTATCAAAAGATTTAAAACGATACGGAATAAAGGTTAAGGATGTTCCGAAATTCGCGAGTTTCATTGTTGCATTCATCTGAGAGTTTTATACTTTTATTGATGTTCGAGGCGAATGTTTTCAAATTTACGAAATACAGCCAGAGAGAACACAATAAACAATTGTGCACTGCACTCATGTTATCATTATGCATTTTCATAGCNAAGTGAATATGTCGTTAGAAACATATCATCTCTCATCTATCAATAAAGCAAATTCTACCATCTCTTACTGATCAGTTCTTCGATAAGCCACCGGTATGAACCCAATTTTCGATAACCCTCCCATTCATCTCCTCATCATCTAATGTTTCCCTCATTTCCGATTCATTCCTCAAAAATGAAGATTCTTATCGAATATTGTCTATGCGAAAAACCTTCAAAGGAAATCAGAAAAATTTAAATACACTGTAAATCGTCGTTCGTTATGGTCATTGATGCATTAACCGATGAAAGAAAAGAATTTGGAACGTTTTTCTCTTGTCTACTTAATAGTGAGAACAGAATAGTTTCTCGTTCTCTAATTGAATTGTTTTTCAATCTCTTAAGATTAGTTTAATAACATATTTCGTTCAATTTAATTTCGTTCAGTTTGAATGATGAATGCATTTGAATGTTACAAATATATTTTGTTTAAAGCAGTTCATCAAATATCTGATTAATGAACAATGGGATTGACAAACCATTGTTATATTGGTCGAAAATGTAATCCTCTTATTGATTTATCGAAATTTTAACAAGATCAAAAATTTCAGTATTCATTAATACAATAACCAAGCTTTTATCTTTGGTGTTATTGTCGTTTTCAATATTGTAATTGTACTTATTACTGTTGTCTCAGGATAGTTCTGTGATGATTTCATGAACAAGTTTCAGGCGTTATTAATAGATCCAGAGGAAGTGGATGTCGAAGACTTCGCTCGTATTCCGGAAGTGAATGATCTGTTATTGGTGTTGTGTATGGCAACGTATGGTGAAGGGGATCCAACGGATAACGCGCAACAGTTACATGAATATATTAACAATAATGATTGCAATCTTAGTGGAGTACGATACGCAGTTAGTTGTTTGCTTCATTTCAATTACTTTGTTAATTATTAAGTGTGACGAGAATGTAATGACTCACTCCACTGGAACTTGTTTTCGGAATTATTAAATAAAAAGTGTTTTATGGTGGAGTTATGGTGGAGCATAATTGTTAGAAATGACGTATATTTTATATAGCTGTTTGTATATGCGTAAAATCAATATCGTTTAGGTGTTCGGTCTAGGTAACAAAACATACGAACATTATAATGAGATGGGTAAATATTTCGATAGACGTCTCGAAGAGTTAGGTGCAAAACGTGTTCACGAACTGGGTCTTGGAGATGATGACGGAAATCTTGAAGAAGATTTTATGAGGTAGGTTTATTCATTCGATTATTAATGTTATTATTATTATTATTGATCATAAGTTCAAATTAAATTCCAGTATCAATTAGATCCATCGTCGCTTTACTCAATCAGGAATCAATCCGCCTTTTTGCAATTAGTTCAAGTCATTTCAGAAAAATCGCTTGTAACCCTAATGTTATTCAACAATTCCTAAAGAATGAGTATTTTTGTTTGGTATGAAGCGAAAGTTATTTCTGACATGTTCCAGCGTACATATCTTAACGTCTTCATAATGCCGTCTTTCAGGTGGCGAGAAGGTTTCTGGCCAGCTGTAGTGCAATCGTTTGGTTGGCAGATTTCAGAGGAGGCAGGCTGCGAGCGACAGTATCGGTTTGAAGTTGTTGACAATCCCTCAAACACGACACTTTTCTGCGGCGAATATGGCCGTTTGGGCAGTTTCGAGAAGCAGAGGCCGTATGTGACTTGATTTGCGTTCTTTTTTAAAGTCTTTTTAACGTTTTGAATTGAAACGTTTGTTTATTGATAAGAGTTTGATTGAAAATGAGCATTGTAGAAGTCATCTTGTTTTGAAATCTGTTGTATAAATAGGTATTTGGAAGGATTGACCACAAATTGACACTCAGAAGTCAAGATGTCAAGGGGTTGTTCGCACGACTTTCATAACGCTTCCTGATGACATGTTCTGTTTTGTTGAAACGTATCACCCGTTGACGTCTGAGTATCAAGTACTCGACGATCATGTAATATTCACTTTACTTGAGGCCATTCGATCAAAAGAATCCATATCTATCAGCTGTAAGAGTTAATCGTGAGTTACACAAACCGAAAAGTGATCGGAGCTGTCGTCATATTGAATTCAATACGAATAGCGCTCGTGTAAGGTAAATATTTTTGCATTCAATGCGCACTTTCATTTATTGTATTTTCTTCTTCAGTCAAATGAATGTTCTCTGATCTTGTTTGATTTTTGCTGCACTCCTTGAAAATTTCGATAATTTATTGGTGAGAACTTTCTCTTTGATGACAACTATTGAAGGCATTCATTAATGTTCTGTATTTTCATCATTCAAAGATATGTCTTGATGAAAATCAGTAGCGTGCAAAGAAGATTTTTTATGGAACAGATAAGAAAAGTTTATGTGACAAAACTTTTTGAAGGTATGAAACAGGCGATCATTTGGGTGTGTTTCCCACTAATGACGTGAAATTAGTCGATGAAATTGGACGGTTACTTAATGCCGATATGGATTTAGCGTTCCGCCTCATAAACACTGATGGTAAGTGATGAATGTATAAAAAATCACGGTTTACGTGGATATAAACTCATGTCAAATGTGACTAATTCGACAATATCCGTTAGTGAAAGTGCTGATAGGCGAAGCTGAATAATTCACGAATCTTGACGATGATTTAGTGTTGTTGCACGAGAAGATAGAAAAATCATTCAATGATTTTATCTATGGACGATGGAATAAATAATTGAAAAAAAAAAGAAATCGATGCGAATCAAATCTTTGTTCAGTTATATGTGCAACATTTTTGTGTGATCTTTGAAAAAGCAATGATGTGTTTGCTTGTTTGAGCAGTGCATAGCAAAAGATTGAGAATAGCACCGAACAAATCGCTGTAACGTTTTCTTATTCACACTATGAATTGATGTTGCACATTTCAAGAGGAGAGTTCCAAACGATACCCGTTCCCGTGTCCATGTACCGTCCGAACGGCGTTAACGCATTATGTGGACATATGTGCACCGGTCAAGTCACACATACTCAAAGCACTCGCTGAATACACTTCGGATGACGAGCAAAAACAACAGTTGATATTGTTGAGCACTGCGAATGAGCAGGGATTGGTTCGTTTTGCAGTTAACTTGCACAATAAATATGCTGAATGACAGTCATTCGTTCGATAATTGACTGAAGTTTAGTAATCTTTGTACACATATCTACGCGGAACTGCAGCACAGTAAATCATTCCTTTTTTAAAAACCGATTTGAATTTGTCCACTTTTTTCGTTCGTCTGTCGAAAATTTTTTGGTTGTTTTCAGAAAGAGTACAGTCGTTTCATTCAAAAAGAACGTCGTTCGATCGTTGATGTGTTACGTCACTTCAGTACGTGTCGACCACCGATTGATTTCTTGCTCGAGTTATTGCCTCGTCTTCAAGTTAGTGCAAAGACTTGCGCGATATAAACGTTGATTCTGTTGCTGTTCCATTTGAAGAAAATTTTGTTCAATGTCGGCGACATCGTTCGAATCGTATTCATTCGTTCACATAGAAACAGATTATTTTTTGATGAATATTTAGCATCATTTGATTATGTTTACATTAGTTCATAGTGAAATATTTCAGGCACGTTATTATAGCATATCCTCATCGCCGAAACAACTGAGTGATGCAATCTCTATTACCGCTGTTGTAACCAGATATACTATTGGTGATCGTCTCATTAAAGGAGTCTGCACTAATTACCTCACAGATAAGGTACTCAGTTATTATCGTTTTGTTGTTGATACCACCCAGATTATGGTAATGAATTTACTAATGTATGCATATTTGTTCTTGTAAGAAAAACTGGATGAAGTTAAAAGCGTTCGTTTCACTGGATTAGAAATTTGTTCAAAATTGAATTTTTAATGAAATGGACAAATAAGGAAATGATCTTATAAGATACTGAATTGCTTATAGTTATTCATTGAAAAGTTGCAGAATGAAGGCGATAAAGTGCCAATATTTGTAAGAAAGTCAACGATGCGATTGCCGCATCGACATACCACGGCTGTGATTATGATTGGTCCTGGAACTGGTTTTGCACCGTTCCGTGGATTCATTCAGGAGCGTCATTGGCATAAACAACAAGGTTACATCTTTTGTCCCAATATTCTAATTGTTGGATGCCCGTAATTGTCTCGGTTTTGGGAAAGCCCAAAGTCTGATTTGTTTTTGTTGAAAACGAGAAAATTCCATGGATGAACTTTCAGGTAAGCAAATCGGTCCAATGATACTCTATTTTGGATGTCGTCATCCAGAGCAAGACTATATCTATGAGGAAGAACTTAACGAATACTTGAAAGAAGGCACTCTCTCTGAACTTCATGTGGCTTTCTCAAGGCTCACCGACAAGAAGGTTTTTCTTTTTGAACATTTGTGTACCGCATTTCCATGTTCTGTTGAGATTGTTTAGTTCCGAAATGATTATTTCGAGCGTTCAAGTTTCACTCATTTCAGTCGATATTCTGAATTTTTGGCAGTTATCGAAATCAATAAAACAATGAAATATTTGTGGAAGTGTTATGCGTTCATTTACTTTTGCGTTTGTTTGAATTCATTTTGAAATGAGAGTGAATCCAGGTCTACGTGCAAAATCAATTATGGGAAGATCGTGAAACCATATGGAAAGCAGTCGACGGAGGTGCACACATTTATGTTTGCGGGTATGCAGGATGCTTCATTTTCACTCATCATAATTCCATGTGTTCCATTTCAACATTCAGTGAATTGATATGATCAAGGACTGCCTCGTTATTTAAGAATTTTTGATTACATTCGACAGCGTTGAAAACATGTTGAATGCTAGAGAACCGTATTTTTGAATCAGTGTCACCTAACTTGCAAATTTTCGGATCAGTCTATAAACCGTACTGTAACTTCTCATCGAACTTCAACATTCCCTGATAGTTACACAGGAGTAGTATTGAAGAAAGTAACAATTGGTTTGTGTGTAACAGCTTTTTTCCTTTATGTGATATTGTGTTGCTTTCAGTGATGCCCGCAACATGGCACGGGATGTGCAAAATACATTCGTGAAGATATTCGTTGAAATTGGTGGTAAAACACTCGTTGAAGCTCAAAAATTACAAAAGGATTTAGAAAGGCAACGACGTTACCAAGCAGATGTCTGGTCATAGGGCTCGATATTGATAAATAAATAGAACCTTCTTCGTTTGTTCTACTGTTGTACATTACATTTGACACTCTACGATTGTGTCCGCGAGTGAGGTGTTAATCTCTTTGCGATATTTCGATTTCTCATTCTGTTTAGATCAATTTTGAACAACTTCAGGAATCGCACATATGTAATTATACAAAAAATACTATTCATCGAACAAAATAATTTGCGGGCATGTTTTTACATCAAATTTCGATTCACAACTAACTATCTGAATAGATGTTATTCATTTCGATGGTGATTAATTGCATGTAGCTAAGTATTAGTTTAGAGTTTGATCAGATCATTTATTTCACTGGTCCAATCCTCACAGATAATAGCTGTGAAAAGGATATTCTTTATAGTATTTGCATGCTTTCACTTCAGTATTACCCTATATATGGCTGAATGGGAAAAACAACCTCGAGAAATCAGTGATACTGGAATTGAATAGAACTTGTATTGTGTTGGCACATAATCGTGTAGCTTTAATTTGTTCGTACTTTTAATTATGCTCACTTTCGTCTGTTTCCCTTTCGTGATGCTATATCTGCGTTTAAGAAGTGTGCAAACTATCAATTGACCACTCGCTTCGGTACCTTTTTTTTTGCTTCGAATGTTCACTTATCTCTAATGCAATACCCGTAAACATCAGTGTTGTGTATGCAGCGTTATAATTCAACTGTCAAGTGTGTTTCAAAACATTTTCATTGTATATTCTCATTTGTGTTATATAATTGTGATTTTATTGTATAGTTTTCGTTGTAGAATTTTTGAAGATATATTACCGCACACTACCTAATACTCTGACTTGATGCTTAGCATTCAGAGCGGAAATGCAATGGAGCAAGATGCAATCTGGAGGCGAATAAAAATATGAAATGATTATTGCACTGATATATTTCATTTAATGATTTTCATAATAAAAAAATAAATGTATCGTTGGATTTTTTCTTAGAAACGAAATCGAAGTATATTCGTTAAAATGCGCTCTGGAATGTGCACGTTTCAAATGTGGCACGCAGATGAGAGGTTTGAATAGAATTGTATTATTTCAATGTCATAATGAAAATCAGCAGAATAAGCACCAAAACATGAATAGAATCGGAGGAAGACAAACGGAAGTTAGCAGAAACAGACAAACAAATCGAAACAAACCAATTATCCGTGAGTCACTCAATTGTTAAATTGTCATAGGCAAGCGTAGCCTTTCTAAGGTAACCTTAAATCATCAAGTAATACTGACACCAAATTGTCACAAACCTCAAAAGTATGCCTCATTATCGCTCACCAAATATACATGAACCTATCGGATGCAATTTTAAAGGCACATTAATGGTTGGTTCATTTAGGTTAGAAACTTGATCAGATCCGATGGTTACGCATTGAAATAAATGAGTTGTTTCCTTATATTGTAGGCTCCCTGATGAGACCTAACTTGTTAAGGTCGAAATAAAACGGTTTATTACAGTTTAAGGCACTGAAATTGAAATGGAGCTAGACTGNATACAATAAAATGGCGATGCTGAATCGCAGGCAACAAGTATTGCAGAATGAAAAACGAATTTTCAATATGGAAATGCGAATGCAAGCATTCAGAGTAGATGCGATTCCTCACCCTTCGGTTGTTTCTTCAGACTTCAACAAATACAGCTATCGATTGCTTCTTTGGAGGGCGAACAATGTTTATGAGTTTTCAAGTGAATAGGTCGGTTCTGCAGCTTATCAGTAGGAACCGGCTGAGAATCGAAAAATGCAATTTGCTTCCCCTGCCTCAAAAAAAGAAAACGGCAGAAATTGAAGGAATTCGTCTGGCAACGAGATTTTTCTTAAAGATTTTCCGGCGAAGATAAGGTTAAAATTGATGTGAACAACAGGCGTTCGTTTTTGCGATTCTTAAAATGCATTAATTAAATCAAAACAGTCATTTAAACTACAATTTCTTCACTTTCTCACGTCGAATTCAGAGCTCTTCCTCAAAGTGACAATTCATCGAAAAAAGTTGCATATGAAACACGAAAAGCTCTCAGTCTCAATATGATATATGTTTCCTCAGAAACAATTGAGGAAAGTTTCGAAGAGTATGCTGTAAGTAAACATTTTGATTAACATTATGAATAATTGATGTTCGATGCAGCGTAAATTGATTCTAAAATAATAACTCAACAACAAGAAAATAAGTGATCATAAAAACAACTTGAACATACATTCCTGAACGTCAAGAAATTGTACTTTAAGAACGCGGAACATAATCGCGTTGCCCAAATAAATATCGGAAATGATCAGCAGAATCGACAAATTCGAAACGATATATCACAAATGAAAGCACTGATGAAAGCAGTTGAACGCATAAATTGCGTTTTAGAACTTTCCGCTTGAAATTTGCTTTCTGAGTTCTGAAAAATTCATTCGTTTGCAATTTAGAATTTGAAACGCGATGAATTTGAGTAGCTGAATTCAACGTGTAAGACAAGTTAAGATAGTAAGACTAATGCATTAATAAACTGATAGGGCGAAGGAGCAAACAACGAAGAAAAGTAACATTCTGCCTTCTAACAGTGGCCATGTAATAATATATTGAAGCAGTTTGAAAAAAAAAAACGAAAATAAAATGCAACAAAAGGAAAAAAAACACTTTGGTACTCAACAAAATAAATATAAGTCTTTTCAGAAAACAACAAATCAATGCGAAAAAGATATTAAGAAAAGAACAGAATCATAGATAAACAACAGACAAACGAGCAGGAAATTGTCGTCAATTCAGATGGACAAACAGTCCATCGGAGTAAGAGAATTCGACGGATAGGAAACGAAAAAAGACGCATAAAAATCTTCACTTGGATAATGTGTACAAATAAATAAATGGATTTATGATTAGCTGCAATGCTAATCGTAAGCATTCAATATGTGAAATCGTTAGAGAGGCAAATAAATTTGATAACATATAAATAAAATAAAT